GCCCACGAAAAAAACTTCTATGCAAGTACCGCCATCCAGCAGACAATCTAAGGACTAAACGAGAGTACGTAGCGCATTTCTGCTGTCAGTGCTTTGTTAACACTGAGAGAATGATAAAGACGCCGTGCTACGTATTTTGTAACATGTGGACATGCGAATATGTGCCCGAGGGCAGGTACGTGCCACTGGTATACGGGTATGTGCCACAGGATACGCACTACAACAACGGGGGACGCACAAGCCACACCATAAGGAGCTTTGCTCCTAAAAGTGAAATGAAATAAAGGCGAAACGGTAGGGAGAGAGCGATGGGAAAAGGCAACTACCGATTTCCCCTGAGTGGGTCAGCCCAGGGGTTCTGTTTACGTGAAGTTGAGGCCAAAAGGGTGTGTTGCCTTTGCGGGGGGGCCTTGGAGGTCCAATCATCTGGCTTCGGCTGAATTCCCGAGGAGCAAAATGGAGAGGCGAGCGAGTTGGTACTGATTCATAACAACGTAAATGTAGCGCGAAAAGACACGGACAAGAAAGGGTAGTCCTAGTGGTGTACCCTTTCTTGCCCGTGCCTTTCGCACTACATTTACGTTGCTATGGAACCCCCGGGACCCCCATTTCCCAGGACACAGCTCAGCCACGCACATCTAGGCGTAGAAGGAGATTGAAACCACCCCTGTTATGTTAGCTTGGGTTCAAGGTGTCACTACACACTAAACACCTGCTCGTACAGGTGCCCCTGCGGGGTGCGTTTTTGGGCTGTTGCTCCGACTTTATGATTGAGGAAAGAAAAGATGGCACAACTTCAATTAGTTGTGTTGAATCGAATGTTGAACCTATGTTGAATCGAACCCCGGCCCGATGAGTAAGGCAGAGGGTGTTGCCTTCGAATCGGCTTTGGGGGCAATTGAGAAACTGCGTACTGAACTGAAGTCTGTTTTGCTTGAACTTCAGGGTATTAAGGCGGAACAAGCAACTACTAATGGAAAAATCCAGAATCTTATAGCGAAAGTAACTGCTCTTGAAACCGGTGCAATCGATCCAGCTTCCCCTGAAGTAGTTCCTTCTCAAAATGCCTTGCATGATATCTCAAGTCAGCTACAACAAATAACTTCCAGATGCGACGATGCAGAAAACAGATTAAGACGTTCCAACGTGATATTTTTCGGTTTAGAGGATGACGAAAAAGAAAATTGGGCAGCGTCTGAAGAAAAGGTCAACAAATTCTGCGCAGAAAAACTCGAACTTGCCACTACAAGTGTGCAGTATGAACGTGTACACCGCCTGGGCAAATTTTCCATTGGAAAAAAACGGCCCATTATAGCAAAATTATCTTCATTCAGGGACAAACAGAGCATCTTGTCTGCAGCTCGTAAGCTTAAGGGAACAACTTTTTCGATTGGGGAAGACTTTGCGCCATCAACACGTGTGGCCAGAAGAAAGTTGGTCGCTTTTGCCAGATCATTCGACAAGCCGTACAAGTTGGTCCTTGACAAGCTTCACTTGGATAAGAAGGTATATGTGTATGATGCCGTTAATGACACAGTTGCTCAATCTTCCAGATAGCTAGATGTAAGCTTAAACTCACACGCGCCGCATCTCGTGCCCCAAGCAGCCTTTCCACTCTCGGTCGCGTACACGAACATCCGAAGCTTGTTACACAAACGTGACACGTTTTGTTCTTTTCTTGATGATAGTGATTCAGATATAGTTGTACTAACGGAGACATGGTTGAATCCAGATATAAGAGATAACGAAGTCCTACCTCACAACGACCTTTACAAAATTTATAGGAACGACCGCGTAAATAGGCGCGGTGGCGGCGTACTCCTTGCTATTAAGAAAACGCTTCATTCGCATTGGATTGATTCGAAATCTTCCGTCGAAATTGTATGGGCAGCTTTGTCTATGTCATCTAGTGTGGTATTAATTGGGGCTTGTTACCGTGCACCAGATTCTGATCATTCCTTTTTGGGGGACTTGCGTAATAGCATCTCTCATGCCATTCAGTCATGCCCATCTAACCATGTATATCTTCTTGGCGACTTTAATTTTCCTCTTATCGACTGGGAACACATGTCATCCTCATGTCAAGCGTCTTTAGAACTAATAAATCTAACGTTGGATTTCAACCTGTTCCAAGTTGTCAAAGAACCCACCCGTGCTTCCAATATCCTGGACTTGGTATTCACCAACGCTCCTGACACAATACTTTCAATTTCAAATGTGAGCGGTTTTAGTGACCATAACCTCCTCCAACTTAATTTAAGCATCCCGAAGCCCGTATCTGGCAAAACAACAAAACGAATTCGCGATTACAATAGAGGAAATTACGCTGCCATTAACACAGAACTAGAACAATTTTTTTTTAAAGAGTTACTACCTACTTTCATTTGTCGATCCGTAAATGAAAACTGGGTACTCTACAGAGATAAATTAACAGCGCTAGTCGATCAGAATGTTCCCTTAGTGTCCATAACCAACGATAAATTAAGCCCCTGGTTCAGCAAGTCCCTTAGCAAACTGCGAAACAAGAAGAAACGGTTGTACAACAGGGCTAAACGCTTGCGCACTGATGGGCATGGCAGGCATACAGACACTGTTTGAAAACCTACTGCTCAGCAATAACCTCAGCTAAAGATAAATATTACTCGCAAGACCTACCTTCCCTGCTTCAGTCTAATCCCAAAAAATTTTGGCGAACTATATCTCCGGTCAGAGATACTAACACTATTACTTTACATGGAACTGACAAAATACCTATTCCTATCGCCGATTGTCCCTCTGTTTTCAACAGTTTCTTCTCATCTGTTTTCACTCAGGAAGATTCTTCCAATGTGCCTACTTTTCCTGAACTTGACGCCGCCTATATGGAACCCATTACTGTCACTGTTGGAGGCATTGGATCACTCATTGACAACCTAAAATTATCCACATCAGCCGGTATTGACAACATTAATTCCAAGATACTAAAGAACACCCTCCCCATATCAAGCAAAATATTATGCCAAATTTTTGACCAATCTCTAACATCTGGCATGCTACCGGACGACTGGTTAATAGGAAAGATAAAACCAATTCACAAAACTGGAGATGTTCACTCGCCTGACAACTACCGACCCATATCTTTAACTTGCATATGCTGCAAAATGCTTGAGCACATAATCAGTTCACACGTGTACAATCACCTCGAGACGAACAATTTTTTCTTTCCTAATCAGCATGGTTTTAGAAAGGGATTTTCGTGTGACACACAACTGTTTGAATTCACCACCGATTTACACTCAAACATGAACAGCAACCTTCAAACGGACTGTATCTTTCTTGACTTTTCTAAAGCCTTTGATCGTGTGCCCCATTGCCGACTAATCTCTAAGCTATCTGCTCTACGACTTGATTCTCTAACATTAACCTGGATTCGAAACTTCATTTCTTTTCGACAGCAGTTCACTGTTGTTAACAATCTTGCGTCCCCTTTTTCTTCTGTTAGTTCGGGCGTACCGCAAGGCAGCGTCCTTGGGCCCTTACTATTTTTAATCTACATTAATGACTTACTTTCCGAGATTACTTCTTGCATGCGTCTATTTGCCGATGATTGTATATTATACCGTTCTATAAACTCCAGTAATGACCACTTAACCATTCAAGCAGATCTCAACCATATTTGTAACTGGTGCGACAAGTGGCTTATGAAACTGAACTTAACAAAATGCGAGGTAATGTCTTTCACCCGTAAACACGTAAACTCGGAATTTTCCTATTACTTGAACAATACCATGCTTTCCCACACTTCTTCCTACAAATACCTAGGTGTTCTTCTCACAGAGAATCTTTCATGGGCCTCACATATCGAGTCTACCTGTGCCAAAGCATCACGTTCACTGGGCTACCTACGCCGCAACTTGAGAAATTCCCCAACTAATATTCGAAAACTAGCCTTTCTTACCTTTATTCTGCCAATATTAGAATTCGCCTCAGCAATTTGGTCTCCTCATCAAAACTACTTGATTATTATGGTAGAAAGGATTCAAAATAGAGGTGCCCGCTTCATATCACGAAACTACGACATCACGTCAAACATAACGCGAATTAAATCAGACCTTCAGCTGCCGTCATTGGATAGCCGTCGCAGTATTGCTCTTCTCTGTCTGTTCCAGAAATATATTACCTCTAATAAACGAACGCGGCTTCAGCTTCAAACACCTCACTCTTTTTCACGCAGATTGCATAATCAGTTCAGCTTCATGCGCATATACGGGTCAACTAATGCATTCAATTCATCACCACTACCTCGGGCCGTTCGTCTTTGGAATGACCTCCCTGATTGCATAGCCTCCATATCTAATCCCGATACATTTCGCCGTCAGCTACTCACTCTGTTCACCATGTGACCCTGTTTTTGTATTCTGAGTGCATTGCGTAACGGTGCTTTATATTCCCCTTGTCTTTTATTTTAAAATGTATCCCTCTGTCGCCATGTTCATATCAACAAGTGCTGTATTCCATCAAATTTATCTCGCCCTGTATAGCCTAAAATGTGATCTCGTTTATATATATATATATATATAGTTTTTCGTTGTTTTTGCACTGATCCTGCCTGTAAACGTTACCTGTCTGTACCATTCCGATTCCTCCCCCCCTTACCCAATGCCCTGTTCTGGGGCCTGTAAGGTTTTTTTTTGAATAAAGAATAAAGAATAAAGAAAAAATGGAAGAATAACAGTATCTGGGGTTTTACATGCAGAAACCACGATATGATCATGAGGCAAGCCATAGTCAAGGGCTCCGTAAATTTCAACAATCAGGTGTTCGTTAACGTGCCCTGACATCGTACAGTACAAAGGCTTCTAGCTTTTCAACTTCATCGAAATGCAACCATCACCGCTGGGATCTAGCGATAACAGAAAGACAAGAACATCGGAAAATGGTATGGGTAGGTAGCAGTTCCCCCTAGTGGCTATGCTAGCTCATCCTCATGAATGATCCCATTTACCAGGCAGCATACTCACGTAGATCGGTCTGTGCTGCAGACTGATGGGAAGTAGACTGTTGGTAGAGCCGCTGCAAATATAATGCAAGTAATGGGCAACAATGAGTTACAGGGGGCATCAGAACTCCATAAAAAAAAGCTAAATATAGAACAGAAGAAAACAAATGTAATTAAAGTCACCTGTGGCACTGGGTGATAACCTTTCTATGATACAGTTTTTCATATTTACTGAATACTGCCGGTTATGGTTGGTTATCAGTTTGTGTGAATAAGTGTGTAAAAATAAGCAAACATTTAATATACTCTAGGAACCAGCTGTGAAGTGAGGAAAGATAAAGTTAAAGCAACAAGAGATGTAGCCAGCTATTTATGAAAGTAAATACTTCATACCTCATGACATAACTTCATATTTCATGGCATAACATTATTTTCAAACTGATCTCAGTGAAAGCTCGGTAATTTAAGCTCAGAGAAACTATGTAAAATTGTTTATATTAAGTGGAGATTGAATTTGCGGGCAGGCGCTAGAATGAAGAGACATCCCATCACATTGTGCAGAGAAAATCCAGAGACGCCACCTCTGGATTCGTTCACGCATATTAGGGAATATTACACGTTTGTGGCATGTAGTTTTGTAAATTAAGTTCAGGCTCTAACAGCGAGCAGAAATTATTGCTCAGTGTGTGTTACATTACAAAGAAGCAGGGACTTGCATTCCTGTGAGCCTTAATGCCGAAATAAGCTCTTTGTGCTCCAAAACATGTTCAATGACATGTCTGAGCTAACACAATCAAAATTTAATGTCTCAGTTTATCTAGAACAATATACAAAGAGACATGTCTAAAGGAAAACATTGCTTGACTGGGCCGTGCCAGCCATACAGCAGTAGCAGTAGGCAGACGAGATTTACAACCGACAAAGCACATGGAGACCAATCACTACACTTGTTTTACTCAGATAAAGGTAATGAGCAATTTGAGTGATAATTCTGGGCAGATTTCTGCGATGAGCGATAAAAGCCAGGGGGCTCCCAGTTCAATGTAACTGTTGCAAATACTGAAACATTCGATTCATAGGGAGATCTCCTTCATAGAAATACATAGGGCTGCGCCAGGAGCAGAGTGTTAGTTCAAATTAGCAGTAAGTTCAGTCCACAGGGTTCAAATTAACGAGCTTCAACTGCATACTAAAACAAGTTTCTTTTTCTAGCAGTTGTCACATCCCCTTTTATATAATAAAAGATGCTTTACCAATGCTTTCACCACACAAGACCCAAATTATGTCTTGGTTAGTAAAGCTGCGCTGCTGAAATCACATGCACGGTTAAAGTCTCACGCCTGTGTATTGTCGATTTCATCTTCTTTAGTCATGTTTCTCAATGTAGCGTGATTCATGTAATGACATTCACCTCAAGATCTTCCCATCTCTAAAAAAACAGCCCCTCATTAGAAGATCACTTTTGTTAACATGCTAGTGCAAGCATACTGACAATATTAACATGGCACATAACTCACGCTGTTCCATGAGGATTCCAGCCCGAATCGAGCATCCACCCAGGTCGACTATCACAACACGCTGTGACAAAATGAGAAAAAAACAAAGTTGTACAGTTCAGAAGTGCCACAGCTTGCATAAACATTGCAACAGACAAAATAAAGTTTTAACAGTAGTCCTTATTATATGTTTGAGGGTGCTGCTGTTCTGGCCTCTCACCTCGCTTAAACTTGACTACTATGAGCATCTAATCACAATCATGCTTAGTAGAACCCACCACTGTGCCTGTTGCTGTTATTTTGAATAACCTAGATGGCAAACCACAACCATAAGCAAACAGAAGAAACAGAATGGGTGTCCTTGTTTCTGCTTCTAGTTTATTTAAAGTATATCACTTAATCGCATGAAGCATGAAGCAAAAGTACTACAACTCACCGAACATTAGGCACAAAAGGAATATCCATAAAAAATGATATTATACATCCTACTTTGTGCCTACCAAAGGATGAAGGCCTGTTGTTGCTAAGCCAGTGATTCATGTTTGAAATATGATGCATTGTTGTTTGATGTACATGTTATACGAAATACGCTACATGTATCACACACTCCTACACAGTAGCCAGGGTTGTGAAGACACCAGTGTTTGTCGGATATAATGCTTTAATAGTTTAAAGAGTTCTCACACGATATGTTAACCATATAGATGAAAAATAAAACAGCCCCAAAGATGGGACGAGAAGAGGACACATACACGGCGCTGACCAACCATCCGCACCAACCAGCCCAATCAAGCATGCTGTTAATTGATAACTATCTTTGCTATCAGCGATTTCCTATCACACTTGAAATGTATATGGAACACTAACCATATACTCGCTATATAACTGTTAGCACCCTGCTTGCTTTGTCTAGACTTTTTTATGCATGTACCATGCACTATAAAAGTGGAATCCAACAACCTAATGCAGGCAAGCTTGAAGAAGTGGCAGGTGTGTGCATTCCCTACAACTGTACATGCTGATGTTGCAAGACCTAGCTCCTTCGCCAAGACCGCCCAATTCCTCTTTTGGTCGTCGTCCACCTTTTGTAGAATGTCTGGTTGCAGGCCCCAGGTTTACGCTGACGTCACAGGAATGTGTAATACCCCTGTCGCATGGCACGTGTAATGTCATTCGCATTGAATGACATTGAAAACAAATGTGATTGGGATCATGCATACCGCATCTACACAGCTATGTGAAATGACATTCACAATTGATGTCAATTTCTACCGGCGGCTGCTATGATACAAAGAAGTGACGCATTGCACATTTAATTTACATAACATTGACCGGCTGGTTGAAAATATACTGCGACGTGATGAAACAGCATCTGAAAAAAAAAATCCTCATACCAAACCAAGACTAGTTTAAAACCACTCACAGCTTGCAGTCGGCAATTTGCAACCATGACAGCATTCATGAATTTGTGACAACGATAGATTATGATCAGTGCAAATGAACAATAATTGCTCTCCAGCTGCTGCCAATGAAGCATCACAACGACTGCAGAACTTCAAGCTTGATATTGAAGAAAGATCACAGACGACGAGGGACTTGGATCCGTGTCTGCAAGCCAATTCATTTACGTCAGCTGCTCTTCGGGCTTCGACTTTGTCAGTGAATAACTGAGAACTGTGGTGCTTCCCAAGAAATAAAAATTGGTTAGAATACACTCTCCCTAAACTGGTGTCCAACATGTGCACGTGTGTTATGCTACTAGCGAGGCTAACGTGGTGACACTGCACCAAAACAACAGCAAGTGTGTCTAAACATGGCTGAAAAAGGCATTATAGCGTCAAGTCGGAGACTGGGAAAAAGAATCATCATCATCAGCAGCAGCAGCAGCCTGACTACGTCCACTGCAGGACAAAGGCCTCTCCCATGTTCCGCCAGTTAACCCGGTCCTGTGCTTGCTGCTGCCAATTTATACCCGCAAACTTCTTAATCTCGTCTGCCCACCTAACCTTCTGTCTCGCCCTAACCCGCTTGCCTTCTCTGGGAATTCAGTTAGTTACCCTTAATGACCAGCTGTTATCCTGTCTACGCGCTACATGCCCGGCCCATGTCCATTTCCTCTTCTTTATTTCAACTATGATATCCTTAACCCCCCTTTGTCCCCTAATCCACTCTGCTCTCTTCTTGTCTCTTAAGGTTACACCTACCATTTTTCTTTCCATTGCTCGCTGCGTCGTCCTCAATTTAAGCTGAACCCTCTTTGTAAGTCTCCAGGTTTCTGCTCCGTAGCTAAGTACTGGCAAGATACAGCTGTTATATACCTTCCTCTTAAGGGATAGTGGCAATCTACCTGTCATAATTTGAGAGTGCTTGCCGAATGTACTTGTCACACAGGTCCCGTTAATTAGGGAGGCGATCGCCGGGCTAATTCCAAGGGTCGAAGTATCGGCCCCCCGAACCGCACCACGAAAGCGTGGACAATTTAGAAGTGGTCCTTTTTGGCGCGCCAGCGGACGCCGGTTGTGGCCCAAAGAACAAGTCAGAGCCGATAGTTGATAAACAAACAGAATTATATTCTCAATAATGACAGATCAAAAACAATACACAAGTATGCACACTCCACAATAGTTGAATACAATATGTCACCCACCAAGCAACGTACTACACAGTACAATCAGCCACACTCGAAACAACGGACACAGACAACGACACGCACTACAATGCAGTCGCATGCATTGAACAACCAAGACACTTAAAGACTAAAGAGATAGGAACCCTATTCAGTCCAAAGTTCTTGGAACAAAAGTATGGATGATACTCTTCCGAGAATCACTCACTCAAAGTCCAGCGTTGTTGTCGTTCCACTGCCCTCGAAGTTTCTCTTCCAGGAAACCTCGCCGAAGTTTCTCTTCCAGGAAACCTCTCGTCTTCAATTGGCCACTCTCCAAGCTTCAACTTCTTCGCCGGAAACATGTCGGCTTCACACACGCAGCTGTTGCCACGCGTATTCGCTCGATAGCGGTAAACACACACTCTTGCCTGTAGCTCGAGTCGTCACCCCTCAGGTGGAAATCATCTTCTTCTCCTGCTTTGTCTCCACGGACAAAACCTTCGCCGACTACACGGCGGAATCCCTACGCGCTCTGGCGCTAACTTCCGTCTCCTCCTGATCTTTCGTCTCGGCTGCTCGATTAAATACCTTCCGCGCGAGATTCCAGAAGGTTCTCGTCATTTCGTCGGCGCGATACGCAGCGAAGGCTGGGGGAAGGCGCGAGACTGTACGAGGGCCGTCCCCGACAGATGACTCAACCCGGCATAACACGCCCCTTTCCATCTGGAAATTTCCAGTGCTTGCTCGGCCGCCGTTGTGGGGTGAGGAGGTTCGTCGGCGAAGCCACGCTTCCGAGAGGAGAGGCTCGCGCGCCCGGGGAGCCTTTAGATGTTTGTTTTCTTTTTCTTTCTTTTGACCTCGCGGCGTCTCTCCTGCGCGTTATCGCAAGAGTTTGGCGGCGCGCCCATTTTTAGCGCTCGTTCTGTGACAGTACTCCACCCCATTCTTATTCTTGTAGTTACTTCAATCTCGTGGTTAGGCTCTGCGGTTATTACCTGCCCTAAGTAGACATAGTCTTTTACAACTTCAAGTGCACTATTACCTATCTCGAAGCGCTGCTCCTTTCCAAGGTTGTTGTACATTACTTTCGTTTTCTGCAGATTAATTTTAAGACCCACCTTTCTGCTCTCTTTGTCTAACTCCGTAATCATGAGTTGCAATTCGTCCCCCGAGTTACTCAGCAATGCAATGTCATCGGCGAAGCGCAGGTTACTAAGGTATTCTCCATTAACTCTTATCCCTAACTGTTCCCATTCTAGGCTTCTGAAAACCTCCTGAAAGCATGCGGTAAATAGCATTGGGGAGACTGTGTCCCCCTGCCTTACACCCTTCTTGATTGGTATTCTGTTGCTTTGTTTATGAAGCACTATGGTAGCAGTCGATCCCCTGTAGATTTCTTCCAGAACGTTTATATATACTTCATCTACGCCCTGATTCCACAGTGTCTGCATGACGGCTGATATTTCTACTGAATCAAACGCCTTCTCGTAATCTATGAAGGCTATGTAGAGTGGTTGGTTATACTCTGGGCATTTCTCTATTACCTGATTGATAGTATGAATGTGGTCAATTGTTGAGTAACCTGTTCGAAATCATGCTTGTTCCTTTGGTTGATTGAATTCTAATGTTTTCTTTACTCTGTTAGCAATTACCTTTGTAAATAGCTTGTATACTACAGAGAGCAAGCTGATCGGCCTGTAATTCTTCAAGTCCTTGTCATCTCCTTTCTTATGTATTAAGATGATGTTAGCGTTCTTCCAAGACTCTGGTACCCTTCCCGTCAGTAGACACCTCGTAAACAGGGTGGCTAGTTTTTCTAACACAATCTGTCCTCCATCTTTCAGCAGATCCGATGTTACCTGATCCTCACCAGCAGCTTTGCCTCTTTGCATGCTCTCCAAAGCTTTTCTGACTTCTTCTATCATTACTGGTGGGGTGTCATCTGGGTTACTGCTAGTTCTTATGGTATTAAGGTCGTGGTTGTCTCGGCTACTGTACAGATCTCTGTAAAACTCCTCCGCTAATTTAACTATCCTATTCATATTGGTAGTTATTTTGCCTTCTTTGTCCCTTAGTGCATACATCCGACTTTTGCCTATCCCAAGTTTCCTCTTCACTGCTTTGACGCTTCCTCCGTTTTTCAGAGCGTGTTCAATTCTCTCCAAGTTATACCTTCTTACATCGCATACTTTACGCCTATTAATCAACTTCGAAAACTCTGCCAGTTCTATTTTGTCTGTTGTTCTTGAAACTTTCATGCTTTGACGCTTCTTAATTAGGTTCTTCGTTTCCTGGGAAAGCTTGCCAGTGTCCTGTCTAACTACCCTGCCTCCAACTTCCACTGCACCCTCCGTAATGATACTCGTTAGATTATCATTCATTGTATCTACGCGGGAAAAAGAATATAGCAACACAAATTGCTTCCACTGTCGTGTTGCGCATTAAAAACTTATTGAAATATTAACAACAACCAT